ATTTTAAGAGTCATATGAAACACTAGTTACTAAGTAAGCTATCATAGACCTATTGATTTACTGTAACAGGAACTAAAAGTCCAGCTATTGTTGCAAGGTTCATACTGAGCCTCAGTCAATTCTCCATCCCCTCAACAGTTTATTTTCTATTTTTCCAGGCTAGGCTCTGTCACATTGTTCTTGAAGTCAAAGGATATGGGAAGAAACCTGCATTTTTTTTTATCCTTATACAAGTTATGTTTAAATTTTCAATGTCCTCGTATTTCTTAATATATAGGAATACAATTGATTTTTAAGCATTAATCATAGATTCAGTAAAAAACCACTTTTGTGTTTTAGTAGCCTTTTTTACATTTCATTATTTTCTACATAGGTTTTAGTCTCTCTGAATACAGTTTACTTCTTTCTCATTAGGACACCTTCTTGCCTTCTTGATACAGTGCAATGTTGATAAAACATGAGGAGGAAAAACATTTTTGTTTTCAATTTTACGTGGAAAGCATTCAGTATTTTTCAAGGAAACCCAGACAGTGGGTATTTTTGTAAAGACAGATGATAAACACATTACTGGAACAGAATACGAAATTTAATAATAACCCCACACAGATTTTTAACAACTGATTTTTTTTAACATTAATGCGTGCAATTCTTTTCTGGGAAAGTTCTGAAACAAAAGCTAATACATAATCATACACCACATAAAATTTAGCTGGAAATGAATCAGAGACGTGAGACCTATACTGAACGAAAAATTCCACCTTTACCAGAAAAACGTATTCCTTAGATACACACACACACACACACACACACACACACACACACACTACTCAGATTTGTAATTAAAAATTTAATTACCCACATTTTACAACTTTTCATCAGTTCAGTTATCCCCAATAATGCTGGTTTGGTAGATTTTGTTTCTAATTCTCTCTCTCTCTCTCTCTCTCTCTTCTCTCTCTCTCTCTCTCTCTCTCTCTCTCCCCCACACACCCCCCCACACACACACACTCACACACACCCTCACACACACTCACACACACAAACACACTCACACACACACACACTCTCACACACACTCATACACACACACACACTCACACTCACACACATTCCCCCCCACACACACACACACTCCCACACACACACTCCCACACACACACTCACACACACACTCACACACACAC